GTGACTAGTTATGCCAATATAGTTGAAAATCTCCTAGTGCTGATGTGCAAAGCAGCTACACTGCACCAGAGCATCTGGTCCTGTTTCTCCAAGGTGTGGAAAAGATCACACAAGGAGACTATCGAAGATTATCTCTGTAGTGACTCCCTTTTATCGAATATCCAGAAAACAGATTCCTTGGCAGTCAACCTCTTACTTTCTCTACATGCATCTTAAACTGTGAATACCTCCCCATGAATATTGTTCATAAACACTGTCATAAGGCAACCCCCTCCTGGAGCGCCTTCCATCAGCAGTCGTTAGCACAAGCTCATCGGCTTAGTTTCTCCTCACTCCAGCCATAAAAGGAACACAATCTGTTCCCAGACTCTTCATGCCCTTGTTCCAGGGCTCCACTTTCCAGGCCATCCATTGGGAGAACTCCCATATTCTATTCTTTATGGGGCCCAGGTGCCGTCTCTTAAGCCCGTTTGGGGTCAGCTGACCAGTCACAGATGCAATGGCTTCTTCCCTTTTAATGTGCCAGTGTCATTCTGACACACTTCCTTTAATGTGTGAAAGGCTACATCAAGCAGTCAATTAAAATGATACAGTAAGCACAGTTTCATAGCTCTGAAGAGAACAGTCCTGTACATTAGCAGATTTTCCTCATCGGTTTTGTATTGCTTCCTCTGTTTTCCCCCCTGCAAAGTCCTTCACAGACATTCTGAAACAAACTGGGAGACAGTCCCATGAGCCTTTGTACATCACCTTAACGGTATTATAAACTCAAGTCAACTGCTTTACTATGACACCTGCAGTATTTGGTGTAACCTGTGAACTGAATATTATATGGTCACTGTGTAAAATAAAGAAAAAGAAGCTCTTACTGCTCAGAAATGGCTGTCTAACCAGTAGATTTCCAGAAGGAGGTTTCTTTCGAAATTTACAGTTACTACTGCTCACCTTAATTATAAAAGCACATAATTCAACATGACGTTGATTCAATGAATTAAGAACACCGAGTAAATCACGCTTGGCAACTGACAAACCCTCCACGTTAAATTGTAACACTGGTAGAGCTGGACCAATGACATAAAAGTCACTAGGCTGCACGTTGGGGTTGTCAGTGACGACAGTGCCGGGATTCATTGAGCTGGTGCTCGTGGAATTCAGTTCACTGGTTAGATCATTAGATTCCCAGATTACTGTCAGGTACTGGTGGGTGGCGCGATGAGGACGCTGATCCATTGCCCCCATGCGCATCATCTCCCGCACCCGACATCCGACTCCACTCCCATGGCCTCTAGTTGTGAGCAATGTTGCTCCACCTCATATCAAACGAGAGGTTGCCACTGGGAAGTTACTGGAGAAAGTGCCAACCCAAGCCTGCTGCTGCACAATGACCTTTTTAAATCACCAGCTGCATGTATGCCGTTATGTCGCCCATTATGGTCTCATCTGCCATGCCAGGATGTTAGGGCGGAAACACTCTGGTGAGAGGAATGGATATCTGTTATAATCCCCAACCAGTCGCTGGTCCCTGGTCACCGACCCCACAATTTGCCCACCTGGTTTTGACCTGCCCCGTCGCCAGTGGACCCTATTGAACAGGTTCCGGACCGGGCAAGGTCTCTGGGCAGCCAACCAGTATCTGGGGCCTTCGTGACAGTCCTTTGTGCAGCTTTGCGCAACACAGACAATGATGCACATTGTCGATGAATGCCTGCTGACTGGGTTCAGCAGTGGCCTAAAAGAACTGCATCACACCACTGAAGGTGCCAAAATTGTGACAGCATGTGATCTGGCTATCAGGCAGGGCCGGTGTAACCACTAGGTGAACTATGCGCCCGCCTAGGGCACCAAAAAGCGGTGCTCAAAAATTTTTTTTTTACACTATTGCTCCCAGCGGTGGGACGGGCCGCTTGCAGCCGCATTAGCACCTACCTCTGCGGACATCCTCTGCAACCGCAGGCCCCGCCACCTCCCTCTGCCGTGCTCCACATCACTGCCTCCCCCACCCCACCCCAGCCTGGAGCCACCTGCTCCCCGAGCCCCCAGGCTGCTGCATCGCTCCCTAGCCCACTTCCTCCGGCTCTGGCAGTCCCGGACCCCCTGCCACAGCAGCGGCTGCTACCCAAGGGCTGCCGGCTGCAGATCGGAGCAGGTGACAACAGCCCATCTGCAGCTGGCCCTATTGACAGCAATGCAGTGGCAGGAGAGGGGGTGGGGGTGGGGGAAAGGAAGAGGAGACTGTGGCCACCGGTCCACCTGCGGGGGTGGATCATGGCCCTGCCAGAGGATAGAGGGTTAAAGAGCTGCAAAAGTGTAACCATCCTCAGCACATGCCACCTTCCAAGGCTTCATCCCCACCCATCCCTGCAGCCCTGTGGAGCAGGTAAATAGAGCCCCATTTTGGGGAAACCAAGGCAGAGAACAGGGACGTGACTTGCCCAAGGTCACCCGGGGAGTCATTGTCGGAGTCCTGCTTTGAACACAGAAAATCGAGGCTCTTAGTTCTGCGCTGGCTCAGACCATTAGACCAGAGGCCTTCAAGCCCTGAGCTCTGCACCTGCCCACACAAGGCATTAATCTGGGATTCAGGGGCAGCACACTGCAAGAAACACGGCTGTCTCGAGCCCTTATGGCTACAAGGAAAATCTTCCAAAGGTTATGGGCGTCTAGCCGACACAGTTCTGTCTGCCTGAGTCTGCAGCCAGCCTGGGACAACAGCTCTAGGAAATGCGGCAGTAACTGTTAAGTCTAATTACGACACCATCAGAACCAGATTTTCATGTAGCATGGGTGACCAGTTGCGTGGTGCACAACCATTGCAAGTGTGCGAGCAACTCAGGTTAAGTGCAGCTGAACCCTGGGCAGGTTGCAGCACCCAAGAGATTTTTGTTCTCCCACTGAATGACAGCAGATGCACCAGTAACTTTACTAGGTAGAAGTTTAGTGACCAAAGTAGGGCCATATCCTTCCCATTCCCAGCATTGGGTCAACTGCCCCTCTTCATTCTCCTGATTGCTTGTATTGTTATTGATGGGAGATCTGCTGTGGATTGAGGGGATGTATATGGACCTGCCTTTGCAGGCTCAGTCCTGGCCCAGCATTCGAAATAAATTTGCCCTGAGTTTCAGAAGTACTGAGTACTGGAGTTCCCACAGACATCAGGGGAACCTCAGGTGCTCAGCATCTCTGAAAATCAGGCCCAGAATGACACTGATGCCTCTGCCCTGGGCCAGAGCGCTCTGAGTAAAGGGCTTCAGCAGTGATTGGCGTCGGGCAGAGTAAAGCAACCGGGACAGTCATGACGGAAGCTGGAACTCTGTCCTCGCCTCACACCTGTGGGGAAGACAGGCCTTCAGACACCCCCTCCCTCCTGCATTGCACTTTCCAGCCCAGGAGCAAGGAACCATTTCACACCTTAGCGCTGGGGGGAGCTGAAGCCCAGGACGGGGAAGTAACTTGCCTGAAGTCATCCAGTGAGTTGGTGCCAGGGTGGAGGATAGAAGCCAGATCCTGACTCCCAGCTCTGTGCTCTGATCCCCAAAACAGCCAGATCCATGGAGGGGGGGGCAGGAGGGACTCTAGCCACGTGCAGGAGACCCAAGGCCATTTATTTTCATTAATATGTAGACTAAATAATGAAATTGATAAATTTTCAAGCTGAACGTGTATTAATTCTAATGAACAATGCCACATTATGCAGTATTCATTTTTGAAAGTTTATAATAAGCGATGCTCCAGGGGGAAGGAAGGGGAGGAGGGGGCGCAAGGTGGAAGTTTTGCCTAGCGCGCAAAATATCCTTGCACCGGCCCTGTTTTTGTGGTTAACATGTATCACCAGAACATTTTGTTGTCTGCATAGCTCTGCAATTAACTCACTATCCTCTGTACAGCAGCATCCTTTGGCCAGTAGGATATTCAGTTAAATTAAAAGTGCTATGTCAGTGCACAGTTGTGTGCAAATTTAAATTAAAACATCAGGAAATGCAAAAAGATTCCAACGGTACCCTTAACGTGAGCAAGATGCACATATGTAATAGCTGAGATTTTTGTTTTTCCTATTAATATTTATCTTAATACATTAATATAACTATTAATAAGTAATACCTAATACTGTAGCATTAGAACCCCTGATGTGTAAATGTCTCCAGATTAACATACTTAGATGAACCCTAAATTTTGTATTTTCTTTGCAAAAAAAGTAGACAATTGTGTTTTTAAACCTCAGGATACTCCACTGACAGAGTGCTTGTGGAAGATAAGATGGATAGTCTTTCTATGAGTTGTTGGGATTGTTGAAAAAGTTGATGGTCTAGGATGCCCAAAAGCCTGATGAAGTTTTTATTTCCCAGTTCTGAGATGCATCCTAAGCAATATCTTTGGCTTTCTATTTTCCAGACAGTATGTCAAGGAAAATTTAAAAGGCAATGGTTGAAAATCCCTGATGGAAACTCTAGCAGAGGGGGATTTGGTGGAAAAAGGTATTTCAAACAATTAATACCATTCCCTATTTGAATTCTCAAAATTACAGTGAATTGTTACAAAGCTATTGATTATGGGAAACTTCAGATTGATCTACATTTCAATCCCTCTGCATCCTTCATGCTCTTCTGTCTATAAAAGATTTAGCCATCTCTAACACATCACCATGCCCTTCAAGCTAGTTATTCTATAAGAATGGCCATACTCACTGTTAGAAGACAGGATACAATGGCAGGTGCTTCCGAGGGAATGAACAGAACAGGGCAATTATCCAATGAACCAGCCCCTGTCATCCAGTCCCAGTTTCTGGCAATCAGAGGCTAGGGACACCCAGAGCACATGGTTGCATCCCTGACCATCTTGGCTAAAAGCAATTGATGGACTTATCCTCCAAGAACATATCTAATTCTTATCTGAACACAGTTTAACTTTTGGCCTTCACAACATCTGCTGGCAATGCGTTCCATTGATTGATTGTGCATTGTGTGAAGATGTACTTCCTTTTTTTAAAGTTTTAAACCTGCTGCCTATTAATCTCATTGGGTGACCCCTGCTTTATGTGTTCTGTAAAGGAGTCAATAATACTTCCTTATTCACTTTTGCACACCATTCATGATTTTATAGACCTCTATCATATCCCCCCCTCTTAATTGTATCTTTTTTCAAGCTGAAAAGGCCCAGTCTTTTTAATCTCACCTCATACGGAAGCAGTTCCACACCGTTAGTCATTTTTGTAGCCCTTCCCTGTGCCTTTTCCAATTCTAATATATATTTTCGAGATGGGGAGACAAGAACTGCTTACAATATTCAAGATGTGGATGTACCATGGATTTATATAGTGGCATTATATTTATTGTCTTATTATTATCTCTCTCTTTCCTAATGGTTCCTAACAGTTAACTTTTTTGACTGCTGTTGCAGACCGAGCAGATGTTTTCAGAGAACTATCCACAATTACTCCACGAACTTTCCTGAGTAGTAACAGCTAATTTAGACCCCATCATTTTATATGTATAGTTGGGATTATCTTTTTCAATGTGCATTACTTTGCATTTATCAACACTGAATTTCATCTGCCATTTTCTTGCCCAATCACCCAGTTTTGTGAGGTCCCTTCATAACTCTTAGCAGTCTGCTTTGGACTTAACTATTTTGAGTAGTTTTGTATCATTTGCAAATTTTGTCACCTCAGTGTTTATTCCTTTTTTCCAGATCATTTATGAATATGTTGAACAGCACTGGTCCCGGTACAAATCCCTTAGGGATGTTGCCATTTACCTCTCTTTTCTGAGAATTGACCATTTATTCCCTTTATTTCCTATCTTTTAAGCAGTTACTGATCCATGAGAAGACCTTCCCTCTTATCCCATGACGGCTTCCTTTGTTTTAGAGCCTTTGGGGAGGGACCTTATCAATGGCTTTCTGAAAGTCTAAGTACCCTGTATCCACTGGATCACCCTTGTCCACATGTTTGTTGACCTCCTCAAAGAATTCTAGTAGATTGGTGAGGTATGATTTCCCTTTACAAAAGCCATGTTGTCTCTTCCCCAACAAATAGTGTTCATCTATGTGTCTGATAATTCTGTTTTTTACTATAGTTTCAACCAGTTTGCCTGGCGTGAAGTTAGACTTACTGGTCTGTAATTCCAGGATCGTCTCTGGAGCCTTTTTTAAAAATTGGTGTCACATTAGCTATCCTCCAGCCATCAGGTACAGAGCGGATTTAAGTGATAGGTTATATACCACAGTTAATAGTTCTGTAATTTCATATTTGAGTTATTTCAGAACTCTGGTGAATATCCTCTGGTCCTGGTGACTTATTAGTATTTAATTTGTTCCAAAACCTCGTCTATTGACACCTCTATCTGGGAAAATTCCACAGTAAAGACCATTGCAAAAAAAAGTTGAGTTTCTCCACACTTGCCTTTATCTTCCTTGAATGCATCTTTAGCACCTTGATTATCCAGTGGCCCCACTGATTGTTTAGTGTGCTTCCTGCTTCTGATGTACTTACATTTTTTTAATATACATTCAAAAGAGTCTATATAACAGCATGAAATATGGCACCATTCCATTGTGGAACAGCAAGCGTTGTCAAAAAACGTAATCTGAAGATCTACTATCTTTATTGGTTAATATTACCAGGATCAGATGCAGGAGTGTGACCAAGGAGCACTTGGCCCAGTTTGAGGTGGGGGATACAAAGGTAGCTTTAACCCACTTTTCTGCTCCCCCCCAATCCTGGGGCTATCCAAGTGCAAGTTTGTGTCCCTGACCTAAATTAGAGCAACCTAAGGGCTGATTTAATTTATGACAGCTGTCAGGGGTCCCAAAGTTTGTTCCATCAGCTGGGAGTTCTCTGTCCTTTGTGCATAAGGAAGGCTGCTCACACTCCCTTTTTCCCAGCCACATACCCTACAATGACAGCCAGGAAGTAGGGAACGAGGATCTATTACAAAGGCTCTGCACAATGATTTTCCTATTAGTATTTATTATTGTACTGCAGTACAGCCTATAAGCCCCAGTCGCAGACCCCATCAGACTAGGCACTTTACAAGCACAAAATAGAAAGACAGCCTTGCCTCCAATCATCTTACAGTTTAAGTAAATGCAGAAGGTACCCTGGGGCAGGTATAGAGAACCATGTCCAAAATTTTTCACCAGAAGAGATCTGAACTTCAGTGTTTGTTTCCAAAATGTTAAAATAAGTCTAAGTCTCTAATGGTCAAAAAGAAGGAACTTTTTCCTTAAACGTTTTAGCCAAAATGTTGTCCCTGTTTTTCACATCAGGAAAATTCAAAATGTTTTGAGCAGTTGTATTTTTTTCCACATCATTGCCCTGATATGTAGAAACTTTCCCCTTCTTCATCTGAATGACTCCTTTAAATGTATCTCCTTTGTTTGCAGTTCTGTAAGTATGGTTGTACTATGCCCTTATTTTTATTGTGTCTTATGAATGAAGTATTACACTGAAGCTCAGTGCTTTGGTAGGGAGATACTGTATAAGGGCCAACTTCTGCCCTGGCTTATACATGATGTGATCTGATGTGAGTTTGTTATTTGTATTACAGTAGTTATTCAGGTATTGGAGTCCATAGAGAGTTAGCTGTAGCATTTATTTTATTCAGCAGTAATGCAAGGAACCTAGATATTGACTTCAGCAATTAGCATAAGACTTGAGCATTATGAACTTTGGCACAAATAAATGGCTTAATGGTTACCCATAAAATTTGGGGAACTGGAAATAGAGTGCGTAAGGGGGGATTTTTTTTATAATGACACCAGCCAACCCCACAGGAACATGAGCTAACATCAGCTTCTGGACAGAACATCCACAGATATCTAGAGTGCCGACAATAACTTGACGGATAAGATAATTGGTTGAGATCATTAATATATTAACCCGACAAGAGAAGGACACCCCAATGTTAGTAAGATGAGGAAATACAAATAAGTCAGAGGGGAGAAACCCCTTCTGAATATGCATTAGATACAGTGGCATCAGCACACCATATTATAAAAGTTGTACCCCAGCCTGCGTGCTGAATGAGAGAGAGAGAGAGAGAGATTTGGTACCCCGTGGGAGGTGCCAGAATGATGGCCACTGGTGATGAGGACAAAGGTGATGGTGATGAGGAAAATAATGGCTAACATTTCAGGTTGCTCTGCAATTGATGGTTGAATATATGGATGTTCAGATGTACATTCTGTATTATCTCTATCTTATCAGGTTAGAGTGTTTGGCTTTGCTAAATGTATTAATAAACTATTGTAAATATAGAAGGATTCCTATAGTGTAAGCGTTGCAACTGTGCACATTGGGATTCCCAACTAAATAGTAATTTTAATAATACTGGGCCTGATCTTGTGACAAAAACCTGTCAAACCTCAGAGCGATATCTGGGGATTCTTAAGTAATCAATATATTAATACATAATCTATAGATCAGGCCACAGTATGTTTACACAGTTTGCAGCAGTAAGACTCTCAGCCCAGGTCAACAAATTTGGGCTTGCACTACCTTGCTAAAATAACTGTGTGGACAGCTGTGTGGTTTGAAGTTCCAGCTGAGGCTGGAGCTCAAGTTCTGAAGCTCACCCTCCTCCCTATTAGGATTATAAGAATGTGTTTAGACTGTAATGCATGCAGCAACTCGTAAGTATTCAATAGTCTCACTTACAGCATCTGTATCTATATTGTAATATAATATTTAAGTATTTGTATTGTAAGCCACTGACTGTGTAGATCACCACACAGGCAAAAGACCTAAATGCTGGTGTAGCCAGAGCTATGTTCGTGGGAGAGTTTCTAATGCTGGCATTGCTACCACCTCTCACGGAGGTGGAGTAACTACGCTAACAGGAGAGCTCTATCCCATTGACTTACAGCATCTTCATCAAAGCACTACAGCAGTGCAGCTGTACCGATGCAGCATTTGTAGTGTAGACCTGTCTTAAGTAGTGTGAAGTGCTGGTCTCTAATAAAGATGTTACATCCTGGCCAACAGGGAAGGCATATTAACATCAGATGAACTATTGTGGAACGTTAAAGAGGAAAAAATACTTTGTTGATCTGTTCTCCCTTCCACTTCTCTATGAAGATGAATCATGCAAGTGGATCCCTCCCATCAGCTGAGTTCACAGCTTAGAGGAACTGGGATGAGGGGAATAAAACCCCCTAACAAGAAGAATCTGAAGCATCTGTATCTTTATGTCGCTTGGATTCTGGAGGACAAGGTTTCTAGGAATAAGCAAAGGATTGCCAGCTACTTAGCCTGGGTTAGCCCTAGAGGAAATATAGAGCTTGCTTATTATAGATGCTTCTATTACCTTTTGAAACTTAAAATTGAAACATATATACACAAAAATGTTAACCTGCTTTAGTCTTGTAAATCGGAAAGGAAATGAGTTATTTAAGGTTTTAGATAGCCAATCCTATAATAAACTACAAGCATTGTCTTAGGTGTGAGATCTAAGGTGCAATTGACCTGGGGTAAGTG